TATCTGGCAATAGGCCTGGGTCCAAGACCACCCCCCAAAGTATAGACCTGTTCATTCGGGGGGGTGCAGCCGCATACAGAACAGATCCTTGGTCAGGCCTGCTCACTAATATCAGTTCTGTCTTGTTGGAATTAAACTTCAGTTTACTAGCCTGCCCCACATCCACTCCAAACCTGCCCCCACGTACCAGTTCAGGGTTTCTACAGCCTCCCTGGAATTGGTCAGAAGTACATGATAGAGCTGAGTGAGCATCATCCGTATACCGGTGACAACTCAGCCCAAATGTCACTGAAGCAAATTTGGAAAATCTAATCTTGATAATCTTGTTCCTAAATGCTGTAAAAGGGATAAAAGTAACAAACACAAACCTGAGAAAGAGAAAGAATTAGGACAGAAAAGTATAACAGTTCTCTGGAAAACCTAGCTTTCTAGTAATTCAGAATATAATTCACTCTTTGAGAACATGAATCAAATAATACCTTGCTGTTAAACTTGAGACGATGTACGTCTTCTGCCTAAATAGAGAAGGGGTTGTGGTTGGTTGCAGAATACTTGCTTTGCATATAGAAGGTCACAGTTTCAATCCCTGGCAACTCTAACTCCAGTTAAAGGGAGAGAGCCAGTTTGGTGTAGTGGTTAAGTGCATGGACTCTAATCTGGGAGAACCGGGTTTGATTCCCCATTTCTCCACTTGCAGCTGCTGGATGACCTTGTGCAAGCCATTGTTCTGTCAGAGCTGTTCTTTAAAAGAGCAGTTTATGTCAGAGCTCTCTCAGCCCCACCTACCTCACAGGGTGTCTGTTGTGGGGAGGGGGAGGGAAAGGAGTTTGTAAGCTGTTCTGAGACTCCGAGCGAAGGGTGGGGTATAAATCCAATCTCCTCCTCCTCTTCTTCTTTCTCTTCCTCATAAAAAGAGTTGAAAAAAACTCTTTCTACTCGAGATCCTGCAAAGCTGCTGCCAGTTAGACTAGACAGTGCTGAGTGAGATAGACCAATGTCGTAACCCAGTATAAGGCAGCCTGATTTGTATTCAGATGAAGTGGAAAAGAGATGACATACATCATGGTTTATGATGTTCAAACAGAAATTAATGACACTTCCAAATGCATTTAGAACTATTTGTGGGTATGATGCCAGCTGGGAAATTTTGCTTTTAGAACAGGGCTTGTCTGACATGGGGATGAGGGTTTATACGAAGTATAGCGGTCAAGTGAAAAGATAGATGGGGGCCCAAGGGGCCCTCAACAGGGTGAGATGTTTTGTCTCACCAAGTAACCCATTAAATTGTTTCAGTAAGAACAGGCTTCCTGGGTTTTAAGGGGACTGAGCAACTGATGCCTGCCCACTGCAATAAGGCCTTGCCAGAACTGGATAATGTGTGACTTGCGGGTGGGGTCTGGGCAGCCAAACCTGCTTGGTGAGTCCCCAGTCTTGAGTCACTGAAGAGACAGGTGGAGTCCTGCACTGAGAGCGGTCGCACCTGGTCAGCGCAGCACTGAGCCAAGTCCTGGCAGCACCATGGCACTGAGTGTCAGCGTTAAAAGAGTCACCCAGATGCCAGGGACAGGGGAGAGGCAGGTGGAACTCAGCTTCCGAGGTGCGGAGTGTGGGGGAATGGGGAAAAGATGCTGTGTGGAGGCAAAAGCCGCACAGGGCTTGGGGAAGTGAGAAAGGGTGGGTGGGAAATAGCTGCTTAGAGTTCTGTTGGAAAAGGTGGTAAAACAAGCAGCTGTGTGTTTGTGTTGGGGGGTGAGACAGTATCCTTGGGGGACTATCTCTCATGGGCTCATTGTTAATTGTATCGGCTGGGTAGTACCTCTGGTGCACTGGTTAGGATACCTTTTTCTTCTGTTCCCTCCCCGCCCCTATTGTATAATTGTGGGAGGGGGCTATCTGTTATGTGAACTGTTTCTTTGCTCATTCTGTCATGGAATCATGAAGAAATCTCTGAAACTGAGGCCTGCTTGATACAAGATGATGTTCCTACATAGATTTCCCTTCCTTCCTGCATTGCTGCCTTCCTGCATGTACATGTGTGCACATCATCAGGTGTCTGTTTCACTGTGTGTATGTGCTGTGGGAAATGGCTGCCAGTCAAAGCTTCCTATTAAACCAGAGTAGTTAAATATTTCATCATATGGCTGTGTACACTGATGTGAATAGCTATATAGGACATTTGTCTGGTGAGAAGCAGCCTTCTTTAAGGGAGAAGAAAATCCTCTGGATTCTCCCCCTGCCCTTGGGAGTGGAAATGTTTCTTAAACTATAGCCACTTTTATGATAAATCACTAGAGACATTTGGTCCATCCCTAATAGAGAGACTTGGCTCACACAATCCGTTTTCCCCAAGTGCAGGAAAACTGTGTGTTGTTGAGCATTGGAAGTACAGAGGAGGCTGAAGTTAAGGAAGAGCAAATAAGGAACCAACTTCAGCCTCCTGAAGTACAGCACAAGTTTTCTCCCTTCCAAGTCAGTGTACCTCACAGTTTACCTCACGCTGCAAAAGAACACAAGTCTCTGATCCAGCAGGCAGTATTTTCCTCTTGTTTTGTTATGAGTACATATCAAGAGCTGTTAGAAACAATCGTGATCTAATCAGAGTATTGATGATAATATACAGCATTTCAAATGATACAGATGATCTTTTCTAGAAGAAATGTACTTCTTTGAAAGAAAAATGTAATGAGTGAAATCAGTCTCCCTTCCAAGTCAGTGTGCCTCACAGTTTACCTCACGCTGTAAAAGAACACAAGCCTCTGATCCAGCAGGCAGTATTTTCCTCTTTCAGAACTCCCTTTTCTGTCCTTTTAGTCTTCTGGTCTTTTCCTCTATTGGGCTTAATTAGCCCAGCTTCCGAGCTAGTAACTGTTGACTCACAAGCTGATAACAGTCTGGGATCCATTTTGCACTCTATCCTACAACTTAAACATTTACTGTTGCTACCACCCCCACCCTGTAGAAGGAATTGGTGATATATAAGGTTCCCGCATCATTACAGCCTCTCTCTATGGTAAGTTTTGTTTCCCGTCAACAACCAGTCAACCTCTCACATCCTCAGACAACTGAACTGTTTATTGCCTGAAACCTCTGGTTATGATTCATGTCACATATAATTCAGTAACTTGTCTTTCATTTTTTCATACTCTCTATCACCCAGAAAGCCTATGTTCTAGAGTCTCAATCACTTGTTTTGAACAGTCACTTGATGCAGAGGCTTCCTTTCCATAATACCCATGCACAGTTATCGACCATCAGAACAGGTCACTGAGTACATGAAAACTGTATTACTACAAATTAAAATCTCAAACCACTGGATGTAATTTGGAGTTTTGCTTTAACTTCTGGGGGAAAGTCCTTAAGTCGCTTTTACTGTTATACTTACTTCCTTATAAGGATTACAGTTTGAATAGAAAAATACTCTAGAAATGTATGTAAGGATGCCAGTAGTTTGGGGTCCAAACCTGAGGGCCTGTTTTGGCCTTTCAAATAGATGGTTACCACTTAACTCTTTAGGCAGAAATTTGGCTTGAGGTATACATTTGTGATAAGGTCCAAAGTTGGAAATCTCAGGGAAGACACAATGGCTTTATCAATAGTGTTAGCACAAAGGCATCAATCTTGAGGCTCCTCTATCAAGAGATTTAAGGAAGCTTTGCAAGGCTTTTCAGTCACCGCCGTAGGGTTGCCAACCTAGAGCCTGGAGTCCTCCCAAAATTATAATGGATCTCCAAACTATAAGATCAGTTACCCCTGGAGGAAATGGCAGCTTCAGAGGGGTGACTGTATGATATCACATCCCTGCTGAGCTCTATCACCAAGCTCTGCAACCAGATCTCAAGGAATTTTGCAACCTGGAGTTGGCAACTCCTATTGCAAGGCAATGGATGACTGGGAAGGTCTCCCAATACATAGTACTCTCTACAGCAAAACTCTTTTTGGTCAACCCAGGGGAGGGACTGTGGCTGAAGGGCAGAGCATCTGCTTGGAATGCAGAAAGTCCCAGGTTCAATCCACAGTATCTCCAATTAAAAGGATCGTTTAAGAGGTGATGTGACCTCACCTTGAGAACCTGGAGAACCACCACCCATCTGAGCAGATAAAACTAACCTTGATGGACCAAGGGTCTGATTCACTATAAGGCAGTTTCATGTGTTCATAGTAGGGCAGCTGCTGGCAATTGACAGAAGTTGGGGGGCCAGGGCATGGAAGTTGCCACTGGCTGATGGTGTTACCTCGCTTCTTCTATTCCCCACCCCAGCAGGAACCTGGTAGTCCTATCATATCCCAATAGTGTGCTGGAGCTACAGAGAACCTTCAGTTAATATTGCATTCTAGCGGGAACACAACTGAGCTGATAAACATCTTAAAATGATTAGAAAATCACCATTCAGTCATAGGGACTGAAAAGAGAAAAGCAGTAATAACAGCCTTCTCCTGATGAAGATAACTGATTAGGTTCAGAAGCCGCTGGAGTGAACAGGAAGTAATTAACCACAATTTGGGTATAGAAACAAAAGCAGGAAGTGAGAGATAATTAGAGGGAGAAGCAAAACCTTTGCTGAATAAATTAGATTGACTTCCAACAAATAAACCCAATAGTGGGACCTTGCTCATGAGGACTGGCACTGGCAATTTTTAATGGGACATTTAGCATGATACTAAGCGCTGTGTAAAACATTTCAATTCTGTTTGTAGCTGCAGGTGGGGGTGGCTCTTTTAGCAGCACAAAATATTTATATTGTGGAATCACTCATAGTTGGATGTTCTAGGTATTTCTACTTCTTTATTCATCTGATTGGGAAAATTTCTTCTGAACGATTGTTTGGAGTTCCTAGCGGTAATACTTTTTAAAATATTTCGCTCAGACATAGCAGAATGTATATTCCCTCACTGATGACACTCATCTAGAATGGGTCTTGGATGAAAGACAGACTGTTTGGGCTCACTGTAGGTGAGGCTGTGGTTCAATAACAGAGCATCTGGTTTGCATGCAGAACATCCCAGGTTTAGTCACATCTCCAGTAGGGAATGTGAAAGACCTCTGAGACTCTGGAGCTGTTGCCAAGCAGAACAGATAATAACTGGTCTTCTTAGACCAATAGTATAAGGTAGTATAAGGTAGCTAAGTATGTTCATGTGTATTTTCCCCAAAGGTTTTACTCAGAAGACCAGAAAGATATTCTGTGGTCAGGAAGCTGTCTTTGGAGAGGTAAGGAAGCATCATAAAGCTCTCTGTTGTCATAGGGACTGAGCTCACGGCTGCAAGCAAGCACTTCCCCTTCATACTTTTTGTTTCCCACAGTGAAACTGTGTATCCAGGCTGCTGCACTGTGTGATGCTGACTGACACGGCTGAAAGCCTGAGCACAGACTCAGCAATCAAATTTATGTCTGCTCTTCTGGGTTGGTTCTATAATGCAGTGATCTGCAACCTCCCATCCTGCCCACTACTAGCCAGCCAGCCACTCATACAGTTGCCGGGCCTTTCTGGGTGCTCCAGGACAAAATCCTCCCTCTAATGCAATGCAGCAAGCCGCTTATGCCAGTTCCCACAATCTTGTGAGAGTTTGGCCACCATTTCTGGCTGCCTGATATCAGTGCAACCAAACTGGTGGCTGAATTCTTGTCAGAAGTAATCTTGCAATAGCTCAATTGCCTGGGATTAGGCTGTTTTTAGTTAATTGCTAGAAAATCTAACAATTTAATGAAAAATTTTCACTGATTTTTAATCATTTTAATATTTTAGGCAATGAGTGTCAGGGAATCTATCCAAGTACCACAACTAATCAAGTACATGGAAGTCCCCCCTCCCCCAGTTAATATAGATTCCCTGATATCTGCTACTATACAGCTGAAAACTGTTTCCTGAGCTGAAATAAATTCTGTGGTGTGCAGCATTTATGTTGCCTTAGGCTCTTATAACTCTGACTTCATTTCAGAACTTAAGAACATAAGAATTGCCTTACTAGATAAGACCAATCTAGTCATTATTCAGCGTCTCTGAAATCCCATGCACAGAATATGAGTTATCTTCCGTTTTCCTCTATTATTTGGCGTTTAGAGGTGTACTGAGTGCTTCTGAACACAAGTTTCATAGATGCATCCTCTCTAAATTTTTCTAATCTATGGAGAGAGGTGGTGTAAATGTTTCCTAAATAAATAAATAATCCTCTATTCCGTAGTATTAGTTAAATTTGTTGGTATAATTTCTCCAGTAAGTCTAGCACATTATGTTGCTAAGGAATGAGTACAAAAAATAATCACAAACTATTTCTCATCACCATTTTTATAACTGATGGCAATTTCTGTAGCTAAACAGATGTGGCAACTCACAGCATATATTCTGTTAAGACACTCCTTAGTTTTGTACTGTCTAAAAGTATGTGGCATGAAGAACTGGGACATGGGGTCATTCAGAAGCTCTGACCATTCATTCTCTTGTTCATTTTTGCTTTTTAGCTTTTTCACTGGCCACATTATAGAAAGCTCATTATGGAAGAGATGCTATTAGTTAAAGTTTACAACTGCAGTAAAGTATTCAGCAACAGGTAGGTTTGTATTTCTTTCAGGGGGTGATATGAGACATCTGCCAGACATTAGCTTAAGGAGATAGTGCATGGTTGATATTGCAAATGTATGTTTCACAGTGATACTGACCTCAGGACATACTTCCCCTGGGGGAGGTCTTGTTTCTCTTTTTAGCCTCAGGCGTTGATACTTTGTAACTTAATAGCCTTGCAGTGGAGTCTGGCTGGCACAATTAGATTTTGTGGAGTTAAATGCCTGTCCTTTACTTGAATGTCTTCAGAATTAAATCTTTGCTACTTTGCTGCATGACTGTGACAACCTCTCAAAAGTAGGGCTGGGCTAAGGGATTAAAGGTAAAGGTAAAGGTTCCCTCGCTCAAAAGCTAGTCAAATCCGACTCTAGGGTTGCTGTGCTCATCTCCGTTTCCCAGCCAAAGAGCCAGCGCTATCCATGGTCATGTGGCCGGCATGACTAAATGCTGAGGCACATGGAACGCTGTTTAGGAGGCCCTAAAATGACCTCATTCATCAACAGCCTGTATTTTACTTAGGTTACAGTCAAGCATACATGCACATATGTGAATTTTGATACACAGAGGCAGCTACTCTCAACAGAGAGATATGCCTGTGGCTATGGCACGGTACATCAGTAAGAAGCATCATTGTAAGAAGCAAGTCACAAAAGAACCTGTTTAAGGGTGCATGCGATGCTCCTCTATGTAGTGATGGTCAGTGAACAGTAAAGAAGGACTCATTACAGAAAAGTGGAAAAGAACTCAGGCAGTAGGCTGAGCCCTTTCCTTACACAATAAGAACCAAAGGAACAGGTTTAAAAAAGCTCCAAACCCACAGGAGAGGACGCATATGCTGTGCCTCCTACAATGTTGCTCCACTAGTAGTTTTGGCCACCCTTCTTCCCCTACCTATTGTTAGCAAGGAAGGCTTTACTTTGTCTCCCAGGAAGTGGGGGACTTAGGACCTGGAGAAGCAGTGGAATGGGAGGTTCTGTAGCTGGATAGAGTCTTGCTGCTTTCAGCCTTTCAAAGGTACAGCCATGAATTCCAAGTTGACACCTGACCATGTGTGCAAACATGCATGCCCACCCACAAAAAGAGATGTGTTTTTTGTCTTTTGAAATTTGCAGTCCATATTTATATGTCTGTATTCATGTATCCTTTTTTCATTTCATTATATTCTAACCTACCTTATTCTAACACTGCCTATTGTGTTGTAGACTACTTGGTACCTTAGTCATCAGCCTTCAGCACCTGGTAACATCTGGAAGACTTAACATCAAAGAAGCTCTTGTTGACAAAAACCACAGAATCACTGGAGTATGTTAACACCACTGTCATATTATTTGAAAAGTAACAGTGAGAGTGCTGAGAGTAGTGTAGTGGTTACAGTGTTGGATTAGGACTGAGGAGACTTCAGTTCAAATCCCCACTCTGCCATGAAGCTCACCGGGAGACCTTGAGCCAGTCACACACACTCAGCCTGGCCTATCTCACAGTGTTCTTGTTGTAATTACTGTGCAATAAGGTCCTTGGAAGAAAGATGGGATTAAAATGTAATAAAATGGGGGTGGATCCAGCGCAAAATTTCTTCTTGCAGCAGACATGAGGTGCAACCAGAAGTGCAAGAAAAAGATTACAGTAGACACTTGTGCTAAGTCACACCGTATCCCCATTTGCATTTCCTCTTGTGCAAACTATTGTATCCCCATTTGCATTTCCTCTTGTGCAAGATCTTGTGCAACTAATTTCCGTGCTAAGTCTGCTTATGTTTCCACTTGTGTATCATTGGATCCAAGTGACCCAGTAGGTCCCCCCCCCCTATTTTTGCTGTGTAGCCCAGAATTCCTGGGCAGTTCCTGGGCAGTTCAGCACCTGCCATCAAAAATGGTATGGACCTGGAGTAGTTTAGCATGAGATTAGTAGTTCGTTTGACCTTGTTTTTGCAGAGAGAGATGGTTGTAATCTGTATCCCAGTCAATCTAATGGCCAGTGCCCCCTTGATAACACAACCAATTAGCTCAAGGTGACTTCACCTAATTTTATTCACTCTGCTGTGCTGTTTTTAAGACTTAATAATAACAATGGTGGCCCTCCTAAATGTTTGCCTGTTCCTGTACAGATATACATTGAATTAGAGCTGAAATACCAGCCTCCTGATGGCTCAGCAGGTTTTTTCAGCAGGAACATGGGCTGAAGAAGATTTTGTCTATCAGATGAAAGACAGGTACCAAAATTATTGTACAAGACTATTATTTTTGCTATCACAGATTAAGGTTTCAGTTCCAATCAAAGAGGGCTCAAATAATTTCAGCTTTCCCATAGCTGTATCTCCAGGGTGCTGTCCAAAGCTGTTTCTCCCCCCCACACACACACTTACTTTTTGAATCTTGAATTGTTTCCAAAGTTGCTTAAAAACCAATCTAGAGAACTGAGGTGGGGATTGGGGTTATGATCAACAGTGTGCTTGGGAATGCTGTAAGTGGATATGGAGGTCGATAAATAGGATCTGCTAAGGAAAAACTACCATTATGTGGTGGGATGATGTTCTCTGAAATAGCTTTTTATTTGCTACTATAAGGCCCTGTTCATACGAGGCGTTTTGGGCCGGGAGGGGGACGGAATGGGGGCGGAGCAAATGGGCGCGATCCCACGGCAACATCTGGGAATCGTTGCCTGCCTGGCCCTGTTCCGTCCCAAACGCTGATACCGCGCAGCAAAAAAGCACCACCTACGTAGGTGGTTGTATCCCTTGGAGCGCCTCAAGCCAGGCCGTGGGATCGGCCAGCGTGTCCTTGCGCCACCGCATCTCGGCCCCCAGTGTCACGGCAGGACCAGGGGGCGTGACACAAGCAAGCAAAAGTCCAGGAACAGTCCGAGGTCAAGCCGGGCAAACCAGGTAGCAAGGTTCAAGCAGGTTTAAATCACAGTCCAAAAGCAGGGTCAGACATACCAAAGTTTCAAGTCCATAAATCACAACAATACCAGAGGAGTCAGAGATGAACGCAGGGTCAACAAAGCCAAAGGTCAAAAGCCGAGGATCAAGCCGAGAAGAATTCCACAAGGTCTGGAGCAGAGATGCAAGGATTCAGGTCCTGAACAAACGACGTTGCCAGCACAAATGACTGCTGGCAACAGACTTGCATATATACAGTGCTAGCTAATCAACTCATTAGCTAGCCAGGAGTGAGGACAGGATCCTGTCAGTAATCAGGGCTAAGAGATCTTCTGGCACGCATGCGTGCATTCTGCCTTCGCTCTCTCAGCTGTTGTCTTCTTACATTCCTGAGCCTGGTTACAGGTGGAGGCGAGTCTGATGATGAATTACTGGGCTGCAGCAGAGGGATCACGCTTGGTCTGAGTTCTCTGCTGTGGCCTGTCCGTCTTGGGTGGCCCTTCACGGCATAGCCCACAGCTTCACTGAACTATACAAGCCCCCTCGCCACGACAAGGCGGTGATCCATGAGGGGGAAGTACATGTTATGGAGCCCTAAATTGTGTTTTTCAGAAGTAGGTCCCATTGAGTTCAGTGGATCTACTTCTAAGCAGATATGCTCAGGATTCCAGCTAATTGTCTTGCATTGTAACCATGACTAAATATGTTTAAACTGAGATAGAATGTATTGATGATGATGATGAAGATTATTACAACCTATTTCTTAAATGGAGTAAAAAAGGGAAGGGGAGAGAATCTTATGCAAAATTGTTTATGCCAAATTATAAAGATTTGTCGGAGAGAATCCTATGCAAAATTTGTTTATGCCAAATTATAAAGATTTGTCTCCGGCAATCTCAGTGTATAGGGAAGAACCATTGAAATATAATACATGCTTTCATCTTGAGCTTAATGTTCCCTTTGTGTGTAATGTGTGTGTGTGTGTTACAGGCCGGAGGATGTGAAGCAAGCAGCTGCTCTGGACAGGAAGGCTGCAGTGCTTGGCAGGAAACTTGTGAAAGGCCTGGAAACTGATGACGACGATGATTATTATGATGTGTCTGACATGGAGTTCTCAGGAATTGTCTTCTGCCCAGTGAAGAGGTACCTTTCCCCCCCTACCAGACTGCTATTCCAACTAAGTGCCTTTCTTCCTATTCAGAATGAGCCTTGCTCTGTGTTTTGGTAGAAATTTGGCATTTTTGTCCAAAAAGTAATCTGGGGCAAGGCAAACACTCCTTTCAGGACTGCGTATTGTGAATTCACTGGCTTGGTTTGGGAAGTTGGTGCAGTTATATGCTGCTTATGGTGCTGTAACACAGTGCACAGAAAGATGCTGCCTTTACCTTGTTGTTTCTGGGGTTGGGAATGCTCTTTTTCTAAACCACCCCTAGTTGTCACATGTACCAGTCAGAACTACACCTTCCAGTGTTGACTTCTATAAGCGTTATCATTTTTGCAGTAAAACTTTTGTCTATTTCATCTGTCAGGAGCAGTGTGATCCAAGGTCATTTCCACAAATGAGACTTAAATCAATTTTATTACATTTATTATATTTCTATTCCACCTCTGAGCTACAAAAGCTAGCAGCTCTTCAAGATCACTCAGTAAGCTTTAGGGATGAAATGTAGGCATCCAAACATGGATTTTTCTCCAGTCCTGATCCAGCCATTGCAATATGCCTCACAATTATAATATAAAAACCATTTTGCCTTTTAAACAATTAAAATAGCCATAGTCCATTTTTATTTTCACTGTCTAAGTGGCTAGAAGTACAGTTGATTATAATCTTCTGCCTTTCATCTCACTTAAATTATTCAGAAAAGATGCATTAGAGACTGAAAATGTTCTTAGCTTCACTCACAAAATCACCCTGTTTCTCCCATAGAACTTCCATTCCCACAAGTTGCCACTCCCATATTGTGTTCCTTTGAAACTCATGGGGACTGAGTGATTAGGGAAGCAATCTGGAGCATCCATTCTTCATTGTCATTTTTGGTCAGAATTTGCAAGCTTATCACTATTTGACTTTGATATAGGTTTATGAATATTCAGATGCACTCAGAAAATAAAACATTTCAAGCCACAGGTCTTTTGTTAATGTTTTATTGGTGCTTTATTTCCATTGTAGCCGTTCTAGAGTCTTCTCCAAATTGGACCTGTATGCTGCTCCTAGGCCACAAAACTTCCAGGTAAAGTCCTTATTGCTTTCCGATTTCAGGGATTGTGAATGTCGCTTCCCCAAACCACACACAAACGATCAATTCCTTAGGTTTCTTGTTTATAAATCCTTAAATGTTCAAGGAGCCTACTTTGGAAATTTTTAGATGAAAATAAAGTTTCTAAGTGGCCCTAACTCACCAATAACTTATGAAAAACCTATGGCATTTGAAGTTAAGACTCAAAAACTTCTCAGACAAGCAACTGAACCATTTGCCCATATCTCTTATTTAATTCCCATTATGTTGATTCCCTCAGATTGATTTTAGGAAATGCATTGTGTCTACAGATTGGCATCAATATAATCGAAGCCCAGAAACTGGTGGGAGTGAACATTGACCCATTTGTGGTTGTGAGAATTGGAGATGAGAAGAGACACACCGCAACACAGAAGTCAACCAACTGCCCATTTTACAATGAGGTATGTAATGAAGATTACAAAGCCACCTGATTTCACCACTCAAAGGTTCTTACCAGATTGAAATTACTTCTGCTGCATACCTGACTGCAAACTGCTACCAGTATCTCTTTGGGCCACTTCTTATATTACAAATTGAGTTGAATTAACAACAAATGTCAGGCATGAAAACTGCATGCACAGATCACTGCTGCTGTGTACATATGTCAAGAAGGTGTATTTTGCTATGTTATCAGCACATGTATACCAAGAGTATGTGAAGCAATATTCTTTGCAAACATTTTGCAGTATATGAACAAGCTCTAAATTTCCATTGCCCTTTGGTAAAAACATCTTCTGTAGCAAGGAAGATGAAACATGATAGCACTCTAGGGGCTTACTACTCTGAATTTTTCCTCTTCTCTTCCAGTATTTTACGTTTGAATTCCATGAACCAAGAGAAGTTATATTTCATAGACTCATCGAAATTTCTGTAAGTATCAGAAGCTGTTGTGGGAAGAGGGTCAACATACTGACAAAGGTGATAAGAAGCACCCCAAACCAATTGGAGTCATGAGACATACTGTAGTCCTGTACTTGAGGCTTTCTAAGTGATAAGAAGCACCCCAATACTGTAGTCCTGTACTTGAGGCTTTCTTTCCCCTTCCTCTTCCCTTTGGAAAACAGTTCTCTCAAGAACAGTGTGGAGAAGAGAATTTATTGTTCATTCTCCTGTTGAACACTCCTTTGGAAGTGAGCTATGGGTTAGATCCCACCAGCATTTCCATTTGGTCCCTCCCAATTCCCCTTTTAACTGCATTCCCAGTGCACATGGTGCTTTACAGAATTTTTTAAGCTTAAAAAAAAAGAGACTCCTGTCTCCAAGGAGCTTACAATGGTGGCCCCTAACCCATGGAATGCACTCTCTGTCAACAACTATGCCCTGTGGGACTTGCTTAGTTTCCACAGGGCTTGTGTTGTTCAGGTTGACCTTTGGAGGTTAACCAGATGCTCTGGGCTGATTTGATCGTAGTATGGCACTGAGAGAGCCAGTTTGGTGTAGTGGTTAAGTGCACAGACTCTAATCTGGGAGAACTGGGTTTGATTCCCCACTCCTCCACTTGCACTTGCTGGATGACCTTGGGCAAGCCATAGTTCTGGCACAGCTGTTCTTGAAAAAGAGCAGTTTCTGTCAAGAGCTCTCTCAGCCCCACCTACCTCACAGGGTGTCTGTTGTGGGGAGGGGAAGGGAAAGGAGTTTGTAAGCTGCTCTGAGACTCCTTTGGGTAGTGAAGGGCAGGGTATAAATCCAATCTCCTCCTCCTCCTTCTTCTTATTTTATATATACTATTTGATTTTGTTGTTTTTTAACATATTTATAGTGATGTTGTTCTAAGTACTGTAAGATGTTACCAGACACCACCTCCCCGGGTGAGCAGCGACTAAAAAAAATGTAATTTATTGGTTATTGCTTTTATTGTTTTACTCATTTTATGTTGTAAGCTGCCCTGAGCCCACTCTTGGGATAGGGCGGGGTATAAATGTAATAATAACAACAATAACAAAATAAATAAATACAATACAATATGAAAGTGTAGTAATAAAGTCAACAAAGAAAGCAGAGGCAGAATCAAGGACAGCAAGGGGTGAGTAGGCACTAAGTACCATTACACGTACTTAAACTTGGTTACAGTTGAGAACAAGGGTTAAGGCGTTAAATGAAGTGCCTCATGAAAACTGTGTTTTGGTTCAAGGAGGAGAGAATTCCTAGCAGGCCTGTAGCCTTGGGAGCGGAGCCCCATCCACCCTGGGAGGATGTCGGGGGGCTGAGGAAGGAAAGAGAGAGGGGGGCTGGGGAAGGAAAGAGAGAGAAGGCATGCCTTCTCTCCCACAGCACTGCTGGGTAATCTAATTAAGTTCCCCACCCCACACACTGTTGGATAATCTAATTAAGTTCCCCACTCCTCTGCCCCAGCGCCCTGGCCAAAAAATTCTGGCAATGGGGCTGATTCTAAGATCTCAGAATGTTACAGAATGTTACAGCTATTTGTATTGAAGAGCCTTAACAGATTTGCCACACATCTGCATCTAACAAAAAAATAAACTAGCCCTGGGTTGATTTAGACAACCATTTATTTAGACATTGATTTAGACAACCAGTGTATCTCAGAGTAAAAGACACAGACTGGTTGTCCGTAGCATTCCAGGCTACTGTATCACTGCTGGGGCAGTGTGATCATCTATACAGGCTTAAAGAGAACTGTGTGTGTGAAGGCACCTTGAGCCAGTCATCTGGAATAGAGACATATTGTCTTTATAAACTGATATTTTTACTAGAATAGCACTCCACATTGCTTTTGGTATAATGCTTTATTAATATCTAAATTATTGATTTTACAATGAATAAAATGATTGGATTGATCATGTACACTGAAAAGAAATATAAGATCATGAATTATGCACCTTACAATTTCTCTGTTCTTAAACTCATTACACAACATAAGCAGAGACAAGAACAATGATAGCATGTTACCTCTAATCCTTTTCACCACCTCTGATCTTTTTGAGCCACTTATCATTTTCAAAACTAAATACCACTTCTAGCCTCTTGAACAGCAACAGTTAGATTCTGCACTTCTTTTTAACGGCCATGTCATTAAATACTGCGTGGGTGGTTTATGTTACTGCACAGGTCTTTCATTCAAAGAAGATCCCATTCCTAGGGACGCTCATAGGGACGTTCAAGATTGATCTAGAGACTGTTTACAGCCAACCAGGTACAGTACATGAAGATTCTTGGAAGTTCTTCTTTCCAACATCTGCCTTTTGATTCCCCTTTTCATCGCTTTACTTAGGGCCAGACTACACATGCAGGTTTTTTAAGAGTTGAGTCCAAGTTCTCCGGACTCAACGTGGGTGCCCTGCAGCCACACAGCAGCTGCAGGGAATGCCTTTTTTAAAAAATG